TCATGAAATGGAGACTAATCTGACCTTCCCATCCACAATCTCCTCGAAGCTTCCTGGTTTCCTTCTCAAACTGCAGCCCAGTGGTGGTATTCAAGAATCGTCGTGGTCGGATGACTCATCTGCTCAACCAACACATTGTGCGTCCCTCAAGACTCTCTGGGCCCTCTACTCTCTGTTGCCATGTTCAGCAAAAAAACCTGTGAGCGGCCAATTACAGCAACCGTCTGGAAATGTACGTCAATTTTAAGCCGATTCTGTGCAAGTATATAGACGATGCAGCGAGGAGATCGGCGGAATCTTGTGACAAGTTCTCCTAGTACGATGAAGCATCTGGTCTAGATGTTAGCACTTTGTGCTATGCTGAGATTTGCAAGTACAGCCGTGCCTGGGCCATGGAGCCATCCGAATTTGCAAATGATACGGAATGGACAAAGAGGACCTACATATGTTCGATGTTATGCCAGCCACCCAAATGTTTAATTTCGTTATCACATGGCCACTACAGTGAGTCTTCAGCATGCTCATCCGCATCTATATGCCTCCTCCAAGATAAGACTACCAGGCAGCTACCGTCAACAAGCCCGGTGCCGGCAGGTATGAAAACTGGCACGGGTGTGCCTTCCACATAGGGTCGCGACGAGTCCCTGCTAGACGTGTAACATTGCTCTCCGCACCCACCTACACTAGAATGACGCCAACAGATACATGAAACGTTCTTTGCACGAGACTTTTAGTTTCTTGAATTAGCTTGTAGACGGCGGCATATGTACCCCGAGTTGCGAGGCCAAGCGCTCACGCATGACCAGAGCCCTGTAGCCGTGCGGCTCATGACCATCGACGATAGGAGTGACAGCCGACCCCTTGAACAACATATATAGTTGTGGTAATCTTCTGGATAATCCCGTGCATGATACTCGTATCCAGGATCGTCTGTCCAAGTATCTTATCTTGCACGTGGAGCCCATGCATCCATGGTTATGTATAAAGGCACCAGACTGCGTGCTCATGAAGTCAACAATGGCTGAGCTGGGCACCTTGATGTAAACGTTATCACTACAGAGGCGCTGCCCTTTACAACTTGAGGGACGTATTCAAATGGTGGCCTAGTTGGTATATGTTCGTGCAGAGGAAGTATCGAGACTGAGTAGTAGACCCAAATAGAGCTGCACATGCCAGACCGACAATTACAAATGTACCCTAGAATGACCTTGATGGGTTGAACTGATCAGCATTGTTGGCATTCTCAGCCGCACGGGGCTCTTTGCCGGCATCACCGCCGGGTCTCTCATTAGATTCAGTCTTCCCATGCAATTCGGCTGTTCCTGGCATATTTCGTCCTCCGGCCCAGCCATGTCTGGCCTCATACACGCATCGCTGCTCGAAAACGAGCGTACATTCGGCCAAGATCATTTGGCTGCATGCCAGTGAAGTCGGGGAATCTGTCTATAACGATATGCCTAGGCCGTGGTCGACCATGGGTGTATTGGGGACTGGTAAGAGTTGCGATTAAGGGTGCAACTTCCACACAGCACGTACTCTCTGACAACTTCGAGCGTACCTTTACAAGTTGGCCGACACATGAAAACAAAGTAATCTAGCCAGGCGTCCCACAAAAAGGTAGCCTTAAGACTCACCTCTGGCGCATGGTAGTGATTGGGATGTAGCCGGGACATCCCCCGACGGTCTTGCTAGCGAGGAATTTGATAGAATCGAGGGACTTCCGGAGTGAACGTGCGCCTCCCCGTCCGCGCCGGTTATGAGGTTTCTAGTGAACAGGCTCGTTCTGCGCACTCGGTACAATATTTCGACATACTAACTCGAAGAAATTGCCTACTGAAGGCGTGCAGCCGAAGCCAGAAACTTGGCGCGCTGAAGTAGATCCCCATATACATGAGGTCTGGTATGTTGGTTGTGTGATCACATCCGTTACAATAGCGGTGCTAGTAGAGTCGCTGACCTGCACCGTCGAAGTCCCTAGTGGTGAAATGCATGAGAGTATCACTTCTTCTTACAGACAATGGTGCTTAAAAGTCGGGATTTCTGCTGGCAGTCTTCGTCGGCGGGACGGGTTGGAACTGGCGGATTCGACACGCAGGGACTGGCCGGGTGCATGGCAATGAGGGTAAAGGCCTTCACCTGCACATTGTGGGACAGAGAACCGGGGGGCAGCCAAACAAATCCTTGCCTCGTGCCTTCAGCTGTGCCAGCACAGCCAGTTCATCTTCGTCATTGCTGAGATTCTGGCCCTCCTCAAGGATATGCATGACGATAGGGCACGAAAGAACAGTAGGGAGATACTACGGCAAATGGCGCACTCCGTGGTACGCGCGATACTTGCGACAATGACAGACTGCATTGCAAGCGCCAATACCCGCTTTCTTTTCTTCTATTTTTTTTGTCTAGTTATTGACCTCAGGCAGCCGAAACACCCAGTGGTGACGCGAGACCAACTTGGCGTCGTGATGAGTCCATGTTAATCGCTCTCTATTCACTCAATCTGATGTCTACGAAGCTACGTATCATTTGACAGCTATCCATGCTTCGATATTTCTGGTCATCGATCTATCTTGCCCAAACCTCGTGAAACCGCTTCGAGTTCGTGACTGGGCCCCCAATCAACTGCTTGACGTTGGACGTCCAGAAGGCCGCCCAGAAGCTGGGAATCAGTGTTTGGCGGGGTCCATTACAAGCCACTCCAATCCGGTGTCTTGGAGGAGTTCTCGAATGGTCCTGGGCAAGTATCCGAATCCTAAATTTGCACTACCGTAAATACATAGTGCCTCCAATTGTTCGGGTCGTGGCAGGGTAATATCCAGGCAGGGGGAGTGATTCGGGTCCCAATGGTTGTCTTCGCCCTTGTTTACGATGAAATGTAACATGTCCACTACCTTGGGTTAGAGTGACGAACTGCTGCACGGCTCACCCGGGATTATGATTAGGAGGTGCTGCATCAGTTACTCCAAATTCTCATCGCCCATCCAGCGTTGAGGTGGTGCTTTTATTAGGACCTCACTGCGTTGGGAGCGACCGAAATGAGATGCAGCACTTTGCAGGTTACGCTAATTATTACATACAGTATGATTACCTAGGCATTGAAGGGCCTGGAGTCATGTGGATGTCTCTCAGCTGGGTTGGGTTGGTCGGTTGTTTTGGGGGGGGGGGGGGGGGGGGTTACCTTGGAAGCGAAAGTGGTTCGTAGTTGTCATCAAGAAGCAATCGTGTTAGCGATGTTAGAGCCTCTTGTTGTAACACACACAAAGCCCATATATATCTGCAATAGTTTTACATGTGAAGACAGCTGAATCATCGGGACTTCCATCAATGTCAAGCATTCAGCTATTCCTTCTGGTCGCTGACAACGGAGTTCTTGATTAGACTCCATTTTGCCTTAGTGCATGGCAGCACTGTATCATCAGTAGACTTGCGTGCAAACCTCGTGCGGCTTCAATTGTTTAGCAGTTTTGAAACAGGCCTAGTCCATACCCGTTGACGCTCCATTTTGACGAAACCTCTACAGATCCCGGTGTCCTCCCAGGCAACAGCCATTGACTTCCCCAATCAGCCTGCTCACTACATCGATAGACTTCATCAACATCCCACTCCGGCAATAAACATTTCTCCCTTGACTACAACGCGCCTTTCAATCAATACATGATGGAACAGTGGGGGTATCCACTTCTTCAGATGTCCCTTGAACTCGACATGCTCCATTTAGACTTGGCATGTCTCGACTTCGCTCCCCAGTCACGCAAACCAGATCTCGAGCAATGAACACCATGAGAGACGAGTTCGAAGGATAATGAAATACCAGATCGCAAGGGACGCTCAGGCATAAATGGATTCGAGAAGTGAAAACTGATTTGCAACCTAGATCATAGGGCAGGACCTCAAACGATTAGCCCGTGACTCGCAGCGCCAGTCCATTTGGCAATGATAGTCAGTGAAGCAGCCCCGGTAACAGTTCTAGTCTGTCTAGCCCATCTGACGACGGTCCAGGCTTGCCATGTCTGCGAGCAGATCTTCGACCTTGGGACTCAGCTGCCAGAACACCTCGGCAATTGCATCATACGGTCAATAGCACCAGAGACTATAGTCCCTGACATTCGGTTCATCTTCCACCGATTCGGCCCGGGATATCGACTTTGCACCGACCCGTGCCCACCAGTTCTGACAATCCGACCGATGTCGCCGCAATATAAGCAGTACAAAAGGTTAATCATCACGATCTCGGAGAATCGGCAACGATGACATTGGTCCAGAGCGGAGCTTCGCCAAATCGATTGGCATCAGAAAAAGAAGCGATAGGGTATCAATCGCTGGTCGAACATACTTGGCAGTGGCAGGGACGAGAGCGATGGCTCTGGTGATTATGACTAATGTGACGGTCTGGGATGTTTAGATATATATTTTACGTCGATTTATAGTCAACAGATGAGACGACTCTACGGGTGAGTCTATGTAGCCTAACGACATATAGTCGAATGTTTAGTAACATATCATTCTATGAAGTATTGAAGGCATTTTTCTCTGTGATCTGCCCTGGTACTAGGTTTACATGACCTACCACAGCTTTGTCAGCTGCGCCTGAGCATCCCCAAAGCGCATTACAACATATTGGCAGTCGTCATACACAGTAGTCCAATCTTCACTCAACTACAATCGTTAACACCTACTTAGACTTGACCTTTCTATATATACCGGAGTGTATCTAGTCTGGTCATGAAAAAGATTGGAGATATGAAGCTTCATGATTCACATGTAAGCCTGCCCTCCCTATTGCTTGCTTCGTATTGCTGATTCAGCCAGCCACGTTGGCAGCCAGGGACTCCCTCTATACTCTTAAGTCGTGTTAGCTGGACCTGATCTATCGAAGCTCTGCTCGGGCAATAAGAGTCAAACATCACCATAATACTTACCACTACACTCTGTACAGATCATATCACTAAAAATTCAGGAACTATGACTTCATCATAGTCGTCGCAACTAGCAAAAGCATACGCTGATGAGAGGGGGATTCGAACCCCCGCCTAAATGAATAGACTGCAATACTCCTCGAACTGGTGTCCTGAGGAAGCCGTGAAGCTTGAGTGCAGCGCCTTAGACCGCTCGGCCATCTCACCGTGTTGTTGTTGTTGATTTGTGGCGTATGCAGATCTATGCCCTAAGACAAAGAAAATCGCGCACGCTAGTGCCGAAATAGGGCAGCCAGACCGCGGACGGAGTCTTCCAGCCCGACTGCGGTCCCTGAATGCGTCCCTCAAAGTCAGCTGGTCGCCATGTGTCTATACTCATACAATAAGAAATATAGGCTTTCTCCATGAGATACCATATGATTACAAGACGTTTTGGCATCCATATGACATGGGGTGGTTAGCAACGTAAGGGCTACAGCACAGGCTCAGGCTTTCTCCAATACCTGCTCCAGTCTAGTCTTGTATGACAAGGTTCATAGTCATCATCAACTTGTGTAAGTTGTGTGTTGCAGCCCTTGCTTTTCTTGCATAATGTGCACTGATTCCATGGAGCACACTCCATGGAATCAACGTTAAGCATCACCGATCTTATTGGTTTGTATTTGAGTATTGCGAATGTGGTGTATCTCTAGGCCGAAGATACCAACATGAAGAGAGATGGAGAATTACACGCAATTGAGTTAGTGATGAATTAATACAGCCAAAACAAAGTTGTTCCTATTGACGATACATCCTAGCAAGTCTCGGCTCATACCTGGCCTTGGTAGTCCTATCGCCATCCCACGACACCCCCCGTCAAAGAATTCGTGGAATCCATACAGGCAGAGTGACACTACGTACGTGGAATTAATCAGACCATGCACACTATAGTCCTGGCCAGCGATCAAGATCAAGACCGCTTTGGTTGGAGTGACACAATACAGCCTGAAGGAGTGTGACGCTTTCTGCTTCAATTGGACGGCAGGAATGCTGCTATGGCTGAGCATGGATGATAGGTACAAGCAAGTAACGAGGCTGATGGTGTGCCTAAAGAGACATATCATATTCATCTACATGTCTCAAGACAAAGTTCAAGGTGCAAGATATCATGTATCGGTTCCAAAGTAGATGGGTATACGAATAAAACTATTCGTACCGACGGGAAATTTTCCAGCTCGGAGCATACTTGCCGTACACTAGCGTTAGGTACATAGTAGGGAGATGGGTAGATCCACTCGTGCTAGAGGGACCTCAGAGGTCCACGAGGATGTCCTGGACAGGGACGACGACTGCACCACATCATCAAATAAGAGCTATGATCACTTGCTGAATCATTCCACAAGTAGGTACGTGTATGCGTTGAGAATGACCAAACTCTGGCGGTATCGAGCCCGTCGCCTTGCTGTTGCTCACCTTGACCCAACAAGCTCTTGGTCGCCAATGTTCATTCGGGTACAATGTCGATTTATCACGACTTTGGTATTGCTGCATGGAAGTGCAATTTGCTGTGCTGGCGGCTACTCTGTACCTCAATCCACTATGATACCAAACTTGGATGGTCAGCCACCTTGACGAGTCCTAGGTAGGCAAACCCACTCCCTAATTCCTTGCCCAAATTCGAGAACCCGCCCGATGACGCGGCTCACGATAGCGGCCGGGCGACCCCGGGCCTTTTGATATAACGACACGCTCAGACGTGTTTACGGGGCTGACGATTCATAACACTTCACTCGCCGTCGAACTCCATTTTCCTGTACCGAGAGAAGACTCACAAAAGCAATAGAATTTCCAAACAGATTACCTCAGTTCTTCCACTGTCCCAGTGTCTTCTCTATCATACGTGACCCAAGCAAAGGGGATATAACCGCCGCCATGCATCTGAGAACCCTGTTTCTGACCGGCGTTGCCTCTGTGGCTCTTGTAAGTAATTCCACCTGACTGCCTTGAACAAGGAACCAGATGGAGCCAGACAACTAATGATGGTCTCCACGGATTTAGACGCAAGCAGCCGAGACTTCTACCGTCGACGCCTCGCAGGCAGCGGCCATCATCAGTAGCTACGCAGCTCAAATCAGCAGTCTGAACGCCATGATCCTATCCAAGGAGGCTGCTGTTACCGCCACTGGCACAGCATACAACGCTGTCCTGGCGAGCCTCCAGTCCGAGGCTGCCTCATTGCAGTCGTCCATTGTCAGCGCCGAGAGTGTCGCTTACGCATCTTTTATTGGCAATGCCACTGGAGTAGCAGCCACAACGACGGCAACGACGGCAACTGCAACCGCTACTGACGGCACAAGCACTGGCGACAGCGCCGTCACCATCTACGGCACTGACTCTTCCGGAGCTGGAGCTCTCCCGACCGCGATCGCTGGACTTCAAGTCATGGCTGGTGGCATGGCAGTCCTCGCTGCCGTCATGTGAACATAACGAGAGGTCAGGGCGTGCGAAAGATAATAAGATAATAACGTAATATTGTGATCAAACATTGTGACTGCTTGTACCGCCTGCCTTACGCAGAGCACGAGCATTGGGTTTATATGGTCCTGGTATTGTCAGAACCAGGAGTCTTGTGTCACGATTGACTACCATCGTATGTGAGCTCTTGTCACTTACGGCTGTGGTCTGCCCGAGAGACTGAATCGACGTAGCTGCTCTAGCTTTGGTAACGATGTGAATCTTTGGCTTCAATGGATGATTCGGGTAGACCCGGAGGATTCAATCAGAATTATTGGTAATCGCAATGAGAGAGATGGGGGCTGGCCGCGATCCGGTGGCACATGTATATATATCCTAAGGATGGAGCGCGACTAGTGATGTACTGGATTCGGCTTGTATTTACCCACCTTCCGTAAGAGAATGACCCCTACAACAAGATGCAATAACTAATCTTTATAAACGGTGATTATCGTTCATTCCATGGGTCATTTCTTTCAACGGGTAAACTTATAAGAGCTTGGATTGTCGTTGACGGAGTAGAGGTACGCAGTAGTGGTTTTCATTTATATCAGATGTGAGACGGAGAAGAAATAGTGATATGAAAGAATCTAAAAAGTTGAAAACGCAAAAAGGCTAAAACATTCAGACGAAGGGAGGACGAGAAAACAAACGAAAAAAGAGTAGAAAACTAGAGCTTGATCATGCTGAATTTAGGCATCAGCCATGTATGCGTTTGGCTCGGAAAACATACAGAAGATCAATCTTTCTTTGATCGAAAGTCTAATGGATATTCACAATATTATAAAGGCAAATCGATAAACCACCCTTGTATAAAGCACGACAAATATTCAATCTATCACGAAGGTAAATTTCAATCCCCCAAATACTTTGAAACTACATCAAACTTCTACTGAAGCGTCGTTACACAAGCCGGCCCATCATAAGAGACAGCTTCAACATCGTTCCAATCAGTATCCATAGAGTACGGTCTCGACCAAATCGGAAGTTGGGCTCGCTATGGTAGACAAGTCTCATAATCGCCCAGGCTTGAACAAGAACAGCAGATTGAATCAAGGTCACGACAAGGCCATTCCAACTGCATTATCAATTCGCCCTGAAGTTCTGCAAAGCCAAGTAATACCACTCCAAGTCATCAATATTCATCCAGCAGGCATTAAATCTGAACAGGAGGTCGTGCAATGCAAGCTCATCGATACAATGGCCGATGGTCTTCACATTGATTACAAACGATCAGGCACAATGATCAAGAAAAGGATACTTTTATTCCCGTAGATCACGCTCTGGCCTTGCTTGATTCACAGCCACTACAAGCTCCTGCAGTGATAAGAGAGAACAACTAGCCACCCTTACTGGACACTCAAACGGACACTATGCTAAGACGATCTTTGATTCGGAGTGATGAACGGGTATCTATTCTCGTATCTACTTTCTTGATTCGTTTCCATGGTGGGATCGAACACGCATTTCGCAGTGGCGAGACGAGAGCACCGATCTATCTGACATGGTCGTTATCAACTTTCCGAAAACGCAGTCTTCGAGTGTATTCCAAGAGTTATGGTATAAATGGTTCTGAGCCTGCGTGCCCCTTCGTGGCCGCTCATGGCGCCGTAAATTGTGATACAACCACCGAGCCCTGCATCATGGTCCGCAACCTTGGAATGGTGACTCAGCCCTTTGCCATGGGGGTCGGATTGAGCTGCCGCTGCCGCTGCTGATTAAATCAGGTTTGTCGGCAAACTTCTTGTGTATTCAAATCTTCAATCTCGTCGGTGGAGATGTCTGGATATGGATTTTTCAGTTGGCAAAGATCCTGACATTCAGATCGACGCTACCCGTGGCAATAACACATCGGATTTGCACTTCTGGTGCGGCGCCCGCTTTGGAGGATGGGCCGTTGGCCGTGTTGCCATTTTGAGCGTCACCACTTCCATTGATGACGGGTTCCTTGACGAGAGCAGGCGCCCATCGGAGGCATGATATGAAGTGGCCATGGGCATTGTCCAGATTTTTGACCATCTTGCCCTCCTGGCTCAGGTCCCAACATCGCAGTGTCTTGTCGTCGGCTACACTGAAGAGATATTTGCCCCCGGGATGGAACAACACCGCCCGCACCCAGTTATCATGGCCGACCAGCGTCTTTATACAGTTCCCGCGACCATCCCACAGCTTGATCGTCTTGTCTCGCGACCCCGTCGCCATGAACTCTGCGCTAGCAGATGCGGGAGGGGCCTTTTGGCCGGCAATTTTGGCAAGGTATTGGTATGAAGCCGGTGGCGCCAGTGTGCAGCACTCAATCACGTTTTCGTGCCCAATAAAAGTGACCTTGCTCTCTGGGTTGGTCAGCGTCACGTCCCATAACCTGGCCGTCTGATCGGTTCCACACGACAATAGAAAGCGACCGTCAAAAGAAGGGAACACGTCCCTGACCCAGTCAGCATGGCCCCGGATAGTTTTGAGGCAGTAGCCAGTTGTGACGTCCCAAATGCGAAGTGTCTTGTCCCTCGAGGCTGAGACTAATAAATTGCTGGACGAGGGCGCGCCAGCCGCGCCCGAGGGAATGAAGCGCACAGCGCTCACACTGTGGTCGTGGCCGGGCAGCGTCTTAATATTCTTATAATCGTCGGCAGGGTCCCACAGCTTGATGGTTAGGTCGCTTGAGCACGAAGCCAGCAATGTACCTCCCCGCGGGCCACCAAAATCAACGTCCAGAA